AGTGGGAAGCTGCCACCAGGCAAAAGTGAGAGGCCTGTTCAGGCCAGGCTGTGTCTCACAGAAGCCTTGGCTACATCTACCCACCAGGAATAAGCCCACCAGCATAGAAGCGGGGAAATGCACACTTTCCTTTAGGGATAATAAACCTCTGTCTCTGTTGACTCCCAGAATGAGTGCGTGAATGAATGAATGAATGAATGAATGAATGAATGCAAAAGTGACTCTCTAGTTAAGAGATAAACCAAATAAGTAGCAGTAGTAACAAGGACAAACAGTAATAGAAAGTAAGACTAACACAATAAAAACATTTACCGAGCACCTATATACAGAGGCTTGCCACTAACTATCTTATTCCTGTAGCTTATAAAATCCACAGAACTCATTTGAAAGTTAGATATTACCCTTACTTCAGATGAAAAGAAAGACTTAACTTGCCCAGTCATCAAACTCATGAGCGATTGAGCTGTGGTGGAGCTCCAGATGCACAAAGGTTTCCCTGTGCAACTCTGGCCTATTGGTAATGGCTTAGGGTGGTTGAGAACTTTGGGCATAACCAGAAAGGGTGTGGAGATGGACTAGCAGTGTCTGCCAGGAGCATAAGTAAGCATTGGAATCCAGCGTAAGCTGCACTTGATGCTTTACAGTCTCAAAAGGTAACTCAGGAAAGAAAAAGATGTTTCCTCCTCTTAATGTAGGAGTCGTGATTGAGAAATATGGTGAATAGTCAAACTGTAAGAAGTGTCCTACTGTAAAGGACACACTGCTTCACTCTCCTTCACAGCGGCTCCCCTGATTTGAACGCTCATCCTACATTCTCGTGCCACTTCTTGAAGCAGTTCTGGAGTCTTCTTTCACGAGTGTCTTTGGTTGGACTCTCGTGGACCTGGTCCCAACATTGGTCTTCCATGCTTGCTTTGACTTCGGGGGAGAGTCAGAAGCCCCACCGTGTCCGTTCCAGGCAATAAGGTGGATGGGGATGCAGCTTCGTGATTTCACCAGGCTGCCTTTCTGGGGGAGGCAGCAGCCCAACTGCAGCCTCGACTGTAGTTCCTAAAGATACTCACGGAGGAAGAGTTGGAGAATGAGCTGAGTGTGTTTGAAGCCACGAGAAATGTTTTGGAAGGAATTATGGCACTGTCCTTTACTGTAATTTTTTTTTAAAGTTTAAATATATTTAACCAAGCATGGTGTAGTGCATGCCTGTGATTCCAACACTTGGGAGGATGAAGTAGGAGGATTGCTGTGAGTTTGAGGCCAGCCTGGGCTACAAAGTGAGTTCACAGCCAGCTGGAACTGTATAGCAAAACTGTCTCAAAAAGGCAAAAAATTCAACTGTGTATTTTGATTGCACCCTATATATTTTGGTAATGTGTCATAATGTTATTTTATTATAATAAAAACCACCTGGTTCCAGAGTGTGCAATGGCTTCAGACAGTGGCTTCCCACAAGTGACAATCATGGCTTTGGCTGAGCAGCCCCCTCCTGCCCCTGCCGTCACTCTGTGACACCGTAACAATGCGCCTTTGCCCACAGACACATGGGCCCGATGGCTGGCACTGACGGTTGCCCTGAAAAGTGCCACTGTCCCTGTTCTGAGTCGGCCTTATTGTTGTGAGCTTAGGGGATGAGGCTCATGTCCAGATATGGGACAATAACGCATGCTGTGCCCTTGCGGTCAGCGTTAGGATGCTGATACCCAGACCTCCAGTTTACGCTGCTCTGGATTGACCTGTCCTGATGCTAGTAGCTTGTGGATACCTATTTTCCCCTTAGCCATAGACCATTTCCTCTGATGTCTTCTTAGGACCATTGCATCAGTTAGATTCAGGGTATTGATTTTTGTCACCTGGTACTTGAAATTATGCCGTCAAATATTTAACAATTGAAAAGATAAATGACCTTGTCAGTGTGTCAGAAATTGGCAGAAAGTTAAATAACTACCCCAAAGGTACTTCCTTCAGATCTACTCCAATCTCTCGCAGAGCCCGTGGCTGGCACCGAGGACAGTAAGGACCCTGGGTGGTGTGGTGCCTGGATTTGGTGAGCTGGAGCAGATAGAGAAGAAGAGGCTTTATAAGATATACGTGATAAGTTGGAAAACTCATAGATCTGGGTTTAGTGAGCAAAGGCCAGTGTATTTTGAAAGTGCTTTATTTGCAGCTTTACTTATTTTGGGCTTTTATGAGTCATTGACGTCTTCCCCACTGGTATATGAAAAGCATCGAACTGATGTAATAAGTTGGCTGCTAGCTCTATCTAGGACTGGATGCATTTCATAACCACAGGGAATTTTTGCACAAAAGCTCAACTAATGTTCAAATTTGTACTGAAAATTAGATCATGTGCGTTGTGTCTGCCTATAACAAAAAGCAAAATTTCAAACAGCTTATACAGTAAGGAAGGATTATTATTCCAGAAACAAGTGATGAGAAGGTGAGGTCACTGAAAGATTGGTTCATTCATCAGCTTAGGTGTGCCTTCCGCCATTTTGCTGTCTCTTGCCTCAGGGACACTCCCTGAGGGATTCCAAGATGGCTGCTGGTTTTCAGACAATACCCATTAAAGTATGAGGAAACCTTCCCTAACCCCCAGCAGCTCTTTCATGTCACATTGGCTACAAGAAATGACGGGTAAAGAAAATAGGATACTGAGCTGGTCTGTGTATTTAAGGTTTACTCATAAACTAGAGATAAGATGATATCAATTTGGAAGTGCCTTAGATTCTCTGTGTAAAAAAGGAAAAAGATCCTTGTCTCTTGAACAGGCCTCCTATTCCTGGTTCAAACACTCAGCAGCAATACAACTTCCATCTTTCCATATTACCTTACACAGCAGCACATCAAAGTATCCGCAGTACAGTGCCTCAATCTGGTGATTTGGCAACTTCTTACATTAAACTTTAGCCTTCATCTAGTAAAAAAACAAAACAAAACAGAAAGTCTGGCTAAGAATCAGAGATCACCATTATCCTGCTTTACCAGTGAAATCCAGCTCCCTGTCCCCAGGTAAGAACCACTGATTGAATGCAAGGCTTAGTTCATTCCATATGTTCATCAGATTTTCCTCTCTGTGAAAAATACCTGTGATAAATAAACTTCTAAGGAGGAAATAGTCAATCTGGCTCATGGCTTCACTCTGTGATTTCTTGGCCTTGCTTCTCTGGGCCTGTAGTGGCACAGAGATCATGCCCTGCATACATGGGAGAGAGGTGCTATGTTCATTCACATTGTAGTGGCTGGGAAGCAGAGAGAGAGGAAGGAAACAGAGTCCCAAGATACCTCTCTCAGGCATCATCTCCGCAATTCTACTTCCTCCCTCTAGATCCACTTCCCAAAGGTTCTGCCACTTCCCAGTAGCATCTGAGACTGGTGCCCAACCTTCACCACACGGTCCATGGGATCTGGTCAAGATCCACACCATACTATTCCTCTAAGAGAAGACATTTATTTTAGATAAGTAAAGGAGCCAGCCTTGGAGTGGACTATGGAGTCAAAGCTCCACCACTCACAGAAAAATACATTTGAAAGGCCCTGAGAAAGAAACTGGAAACATCCAAAAGGACTGGAATGGCATACAGTGAGTGAATAAAGAAGGTGGCAAGAGAGAGTGATGGGGTGAATTTACAAGTTCTTCAGAGTCTTTCTAGGTCCTGGTAAAGAGTTTGGGGTTCTGTTCCAGAGATAGGGGAAGCACTGAAGTATTAAACAGAATCCACTATAAAATGACACAAATTTGTATATTGAGAAGAGCAACACTATTTCATGTAGACTTTACGGCCTTGGAGTAGCTATTCATAAAGACTCTGTTTGACAGACAGACAGTTGCCAAGAATTGAACTTCATCACATTGATTCTGTGCAAGGTTGACCAGTTCTGGTTGGTGGACACATTTCATGGACAAGTCAAGCTAGCGGAATGATTGATACTTTAAATATAAGAATACCTCTCTGTTTTCTCTTAGAATAGCAAAAGAAAGCTCCATTTCCCAGTTGGATAACGCTGCCACTCAGTTCCACAGTGATTTACTCACTTATTTCTAAAATGACTTCTAGACTTGACAGTGCTCCTCAGAGAGACGGAGCCTGGGCGGGCCCATCTCCGGCAGGGGGCTGGCCAGCTCTCCTTCCCAGGCCGGCTGTGGCTTGCACTCTTGGGGTGCACACTTAGGAGGTTCTCTCTGCAGTGGAATCTGTTTGTGCCAGTTGCTGAGTCTTTCACGCCTCCTTCGCATTACTGAGCCAACACATTCCAGAGCTCTCTGATTTTGTTAGCAGGAGATTGGAGAGAAAAAAAAACATGTACAGTATAGATTTGCTTTTGGAGAAGTTCCTCCTATTTTCAGCAGTCTTTGCCCTTGTCAGCAACTTCTGTGGACCCCTAAAACTCTGGAGACCAGTGGGTTGAAGGGCAGCTGGGATGGTGTTGGTTTCTTGGTTCGGGGGAGCTCAGAGGTGAACACTCAGTGTTTCCTAGAGGGAGCTTCCCACCAGAAGTAGCCTAGAGCCCCGCCTTCTGGCCCCTCTTCCTGACTTCTCTGAGACAAGGCACAGCGCTTGGGAGGGGGCCCCCTGGAACAGTGGCTTAGGTCTAGGAGTCCAATATAAGGCCAGGGTGACCAAATACAGATTTGAAGGAACATCTGGCTTAAAGAGCGTGATGGAGCTTGGGGGGAGCGACTAGACAGAACTGTGATAGCTCCCCAAGGAAGAATCCTTCGGGTGGACTACAAAGATCCCCAGTTCCTTGTAGCTCCTGCTGTGGCTCTGTCTCGGTCTGGTGAAGAGTGAGGGGGTCACGTGTGGTCTTCAGAACAAGGCACTGCAAATTGGGTTTCCTCTTGTTCACAGAACATGCATACACTCTGAGTTAAATACGAGTCACTGTGATTCTTCTGTGCCTATTTTTAGCCAATGGGCAAGCCCACTCCTCAAAGTATGGTTAATGCCAGAAGTGAAATGATTTCCCTAACCGTTGTTATGTTTTCTCTCTTCAACATGAAGTATATTCGGTGCTCTTCGAACTGGTGCTTACATGATGTACATTCTGATGACCAAAGGCCTGAAGCACTCAGTCTGTGACCAGAGTTTTTACAACGGGCCCGTCAGCAAATTCTGGGCTTACGCGTTTGTGCTAAGCAAAGCGCCAGAACTAGGTGAGTGCTGCCCTCCTCCTCTAGCCTCTCTGAAACCCTCACATCCACAGTATTTATTTTAAAAATGCACAAGGCAACAGACTGAAAGTCTCCCTTTGTTGGTTGCAAGAAAATTATAACAGACTTTGAGTTTGCTCTTTCTTTTTTCTCTCCTGCTCTGTTAGGTAACTGTACTGTGTATATTAACAACAAAAGACTCTCCATAGGGCGAGCTGATTTCCAAGCAGTGCTACAGATGAGCTGCACTACCAGGGGCTTATGAAATATACACAGACCCCCTCTAAGCTTCTTTAACAGCTGAGCTAACATTAGAGAGGAACCCAGCCATTTCCAAGTCCCGTGTCTGAGCATGCTTTCATCTTCTGAGTCTAGATTCAGATTAGCAAATTAAGCTTCCGTTTGGGTGTCCTTATGTTCTCATTATCTAATGCTAATTGTGAGTCTCTGTACTGTTTGATTTTAATCATCAGCGACGCTGGCCCTGAGGAAGGAGAATGTAGTTCATCTTCTGAATGTTAGCAGAAAGCTCTAACTGAACAAACTGGTAGATTTCTAGGGTTTTCGCACTCCTTTGTCACGGGAGGAACCCTCACTGACCAGTGGCCCAGCAGCCAAGCCACTTCACCACTGCCTGCCAGGAGCCTGCTGCCTACGAGCAGCTTGTAGTTCTTGTGACAGTTGTTATGACAGTTGTTGTCCCAGATCAAAGACAAGAGCATGGCAGAGCAGCCGCAGAAAACTTGTAACGCCTTGCCTGGCTGAGCGTGGTGGTGCCACCTGTAATCCCAGCACTGGCTGGGACAGGAGGATCATCATGAGTTTGAAGACAGCCTGGACATACAGATATAAGCCTTTAGAAGGTCAGGGGTCCAAACACAAACCCTTTGCATTGTCCAAAATATCTAGCTGAACTTTGTGTGTGAGCTTCGTACACACTTTCTTTGAAAACAGCTTCTTGGAGTAAGCTGCATTCATGTAGAATTAGTCATTTATTCAGTAGGTTTATATATGTATATTGAGCATCTTCCATTGGCCAGACAGCTAATAGTGCTGGAATACAATAGATACTTCACTTAAAAGAATTTTGAAATTGTGTTTGGGCGATGCTGCTGGAAGCTAATGTTTCTGTTGGTTTGAGATGAGTAGGAGCACAGCCCCAGGCTAGAGAGTGCTTTCAGACTTGGATCCTCAGACAGTCCTGAAACTCTTTTAGGGATCATTTATCTGAGAATAGTGCCATTTTGTATTTTCACTTATAGATAAAATAAGAGATTGTCTTGCTAGGCACATTTCTTTTATAGTGATCTTTTTTCTTAAAAAAAAAAAAAAAAAGGATTTATGTGGTCTCTGAGCCAAAACACTGTTCTTTCAGTTGGTCTGAGAGAACGTGGGCTTATATTCTGTACTCTTGGGTATTGGTGGCTTTTTCTTCAAATTCCTCCATTAGTAAAATTTGAGGCTTCTTCAAGCTTAGAACTACATTCCCCTGATTTTCCTTCATGCTGTATAAGATCGTTGTGAAGAGACGGGGCCTCCGCATGATTATGATCCTGGATTGACTGATTGCAGGGAAGTCATGACTTCTCTTACATGCCGATCCTGAACACACTTCTCCCTCTCCCCGCTTTCAGCGCAGTTCGTGTTAAGTCAGACCTGGTGTCTTAGTTCTTGCTCTTAAGCCACGCTCGGAAGGAGGCCACCTCAGTCTTTTGTTCTAGTGAGGCTTTTGCTCTGAAGGAACTCCTTGCCTTGTGTTTAGTGCTCACCCAGTTCTGCCTGAGGGACTTGAGGGCACACAGCACCTTCTATCCAGGGAGCCCTCAGGCTGTCCATCCTGGTCAGCTTTCTTCAGGCCCAGGGCTCTTTGTCCTCCCAATTTCCAACCCACATCCAAGTCTCAGGTGTCGGAGCATGGCGCCCAGAGCTAGGATTCCTGGAGAGCTGGCAGTGCGCAGCTGAGAGGTGCCAGCACCTCAGCCTCGGTGCAGGTTGGTCCGCTGTGCACTTAGTTCATGCTGTACCTCTTGCTCTCTCTGAAGACAGCAGCTGGAGCCTTTTGTCCCTGAACCCCAGGCCACGGTGGCAGCCACTCTTGGTTTGCGCTGGCAAACCTGCTTTCCTCCTCCAGTGAGGCCCATTCATCTATAGACAGCAGATAAGCCATCCTTTCCCCGTAATGGGATGGCATTGAGGCGCCGGGCTTGGGTAGAAATATCGGGGAAAAGATATCCTAATCTTGACATAGTTCTTCTACAGTTGTAGATTCATTCCTTATGGAGGTAGTTTAATGTCTTGCAACTTTTTAAATTTCAAAGTATGGCATGCTGTCCTTCAGATAGCTCCGCAGCACTGGACAGCTTTGCGTATCCAGTCTTTAATGCCCACTGTTGGATGACACTTGGAGCTGCTGAGATTTGCTTTTGTTAGAACTTGGAACCATCTGCTCTTGAGTTTGGGTCCTTGCTCAGTTGAGCTTGTTCTTGTGTTTGAAACTCTGACTCAGTGGCACTCCACTAACTCTGTGCAGATTGCTGGGCAGTCTGTGACAAGCCACACACTCAGAGGCCCTCCGTGTCTCTTGGGGGCCACGAGTGCCCTGGGATTTCCTAGTGCTGATGGGCACCCTCTAGATGCCAAGAAGTCTGCACAGAACGGAAGGTGTAGGTCAGGAGGGGCACTGCAGTGGGAGAACACCACACCTACCCACGTGCTGAGTATGGACGGCCTCTCAGCATGATAAAGTGAGCATGGGCCAGGGGTGGCTAAGCTGGATGCCATGACTGAACTTTTCAGGAGTCCAAAGGGCCATTCTTTGTGCTTGGCTAGAACGTAGTCCATGGTGCCAGCTAGCCACTCAGCCTGGGAAGGTTGGTTGGCCCATATCTAATATGTGGCCCTCAGGATCGTTTACCTTTCCAGGCCCTCCAGCTTCTGGCCAGCCAGTAAATGCCAGGTGTTAGCCTGCCCTTGGTTCAAGAACATGTGATGTCATGTGCTTTCTGCAGAGGAAACATAATTTGTAGCTGCCAGAATGGCAGGAACCAACGCGTCTCAACTGCAGTGTCTGAGACCATGAGTGTTCTTTCCTGGCCTTCTAGAAGTTTCCCGTCCTTTGTCTGGGCCCATAGCCCGGGGGGTAGAGACCTTCGTATGGCTTTGGAGTGGGACACTTTGGGAAAGCATCTCTCTTCATTGTTCCGTCTACCTTCCGGCATAGTTGTATTGAAAAACGCTAAGTGGATTCAGGTCACTTTTGTCTTCAAGATTTGATGACGCATCCTTTCCTTGCACTGCTGCCTCCTCCAGAGCAGTAGCAGCACCTAAGATGTCTCAGATCAAGGCTGGTCACACCCACCCCTACACCCGGTCAGGAAAAACACAAAGAAGTCCTCAGCTCTGGAACTGGGAGTCCCAATTCTTAGTCCACCGAAGCTCATTCTTCATTGTTCTTTAGACAGTGAAATTTTAATGGAAAGGGGATGGTGGAGTTTAAATCAAATCTACAGAATTAGGATGAAATGCTTATTACTTATAGCAGATAGCTTTCATTACAACATGTTTGAATATTATGCTAGATTTATATTTTAGCTGATGCTACAGACTCATAAAAGATCTTCTCAATTACAAATGACTGTATTTGTTTTTAACAGAGAATTTGTTTGACTTCTACTTGTTATTTCCACTGTGATCAAAGGGACGCTGGAACTGCTGTCTGCATCACAGGCTGGAGGGAGGGAGCCACAGAGCAGGAATTGCTTGGGAACAGTGGGGCTTTGCTCAGCTCCCCTAACTGGCAGAGTTTAACACTAAGAAGTAGACCCCAGGCCTCCTGATAGCAGCGTGGGCCCTGACATACACGCACAAGAGTGACCATTGCCCTCTGTCACTAGCAGCCTGCTGACATTTATAAACAATAAAAACCAGGCACTCTCCAAGAGACAAGAGCGTTTCTGTACCTTTCGGAACAGGTACAGCACTATCATGATTGGCAGCTTTTATGAAGTAATAATGCTTGATAATTCAATAGGCAAGTAAACTAATAAGTCTTAATGTACAGAGGCATCTCAGGCCCTCTGTGGAGGAAGAGATGTGATGGGAACAAGCACTCACTCCCTCTGTGTTTAGCCAAGTGACAGAGCAAGACCAACAACTTCCAGTTCATGGTACATGAGCAGCAGTCTGGTGTGAGTTCGCCGACGGTTGGGAAGCATGCTGGTCTTTCTCATGTCTGCTAGTGAGGGCTGGGCAAAAAAGAAGCACTGGCCAGCACAGCGCTCTTCCCGTGCCCTGGCCCAGTGTCTCGCCCCTTTTTGTCTGCCTTGTTAGTGGTCTTGGGTGAGCTTGTTACTGGACTTGTTCTCCATCCATTTTTACCTAAATATTCTGCCTTGTGTATTTTTCAGAAGCAAAGAAGAAAATCCTTGCAGGTATAGCGCATCCACCTGCCCCAGCTTAAGTCCCTGGCTTGCTCTCTTTCCTCCCTCCTTTCTTTTCCACCCTCCCTCCCTCCCTCCCTCCCTCCCACCTTCCTTCCTTCCCTCCATTCTCTCTCTCTCTCTCTCTCTCTCTCTCTCTCTCTCTCTCTCTCTCTCCCTCCTCCCCACCCCCCTCCGCCTCCTGGAATCAAGCTCAGAACCACACACTTACCAGGCAGGCGCTGTGACATGCCTTATATCTGTGGTCCTCATTTCTTCACAGATACCTTGTTAGAAAAACGTTCCATGGACCCTGGAAAGCCTTTTTACACTCAATTTCATAAAATGAAAATGGTTTGCTTTCTTTTTTCCTCACTCAGTTCATTGGCAATGCATCATCCCCTTCACTTCTAGCCAATGTGTGTATAGGATTGTTTCCGTTCTCTGTTTCCCCCATTGTTTTCTATTTAAATTTTGCTTTCTTATTGGCTAACATGAAGAGTTTCAAACTTTATAGATGTCACACAGATATGTGTTTGCGGGGTAACCTTTGTCATGGGCTGAAGAAATATTATGGTTCTACAGCACAAGAGATCCTAAGAACAGTTGGGAGGCATTTGAATTTGTGTTCTATTCTAGCCTGTCTTTTAAATTTGTTTTCAGTTGAACCTGGGAGTTGAGCCTACAGAGTGCTGAACTAATTTCCTAGCTCATTTTGTTTTATTACTCATTTTATTGTATTTTAGACAGGTTCTCCCTACATTGTCCAAACTGACCTTAGACTTGTGAGCTTCCTGCCTCAGCCTGTTCAGTACCTAGGACCACAAGCATGTGCTTCATACTAACCTAGTCTCTTTCTCCTGCCTTGTAAGAGATCTGAGACATGCTAGCTGGCCCCTTTCCATGGTATTTCCTAAGGTGTACAGTCAAGTTGAAAAGTTGGCAGTGTCTCAAAAGGGACGTGTGTTGTTTGCCTACCCTGTATGAAGAGAGCATGTTGCTTCTCTTTCTGAATCCTCAGCCACCCAGGCCACTGTGGTGAACTGTCCCCATCCTATAGATAAGGAAGCTAGGACATTACAAGAACAGGCAGCTGACCAAGGCCGAAGATCTAGGAGGCCCCAGCGCACAGCTCTGATCCACTCTCAGCCCCCGCTGCAGCTGTCCCTACACAGAGGACCATCGCTATCAGCTGTGTGACCTCGGCTCATGTGCCTTCTCCCTTCTTTGTCTTGCAGGGGACACAATCTTCATCATTCTGAGGAAACAAAAGCTCATCTTCCTGCACTGGTACCACCACATCACTGTGCTCCTGTACTCCTGGTACTCCTACAAAGACATGGTGGCCGGGGGCGGCTGGTTCATGACCATGAACTACGGCGTGCATGCAGTAATGTACTCCTACTATGCGCTGCGGGCCGCGGGCTTCCGCGTGTCCCGGAAGTTCGCCATGTTCATCACCCTCTCCCAGATCACGCAGATGCTGATGGGTTGTGTCATCAACTACCTAGTCTTCTACTGGATGCAGCAGGACCACTGTCACTCTCACTTTCAGAACATCTTCTGGTCTTCACTCATGTACCTCAGCTACTTCGTGCTCTTCTGCCATTTCTTCTTTGAGGCCTACATTGGCAAAATGAGGAAGACCGCCAAGGCTGAATAGTGATGAAGCCGAGGAGGAAGCCACAGCTCAGGGTCATCCAGAAAACTAACAGACAAAAGAAAATGGCACAAGGAATCACACATGGTGCAGCTACAACAAAAACAAAACACACGAGCAGACACAAACCCCGAGGCAACTTAGGGATAATTAGGTTGACTTAACCCAGTAAGTTTATGATCCTTTATGGGTGAGGACTCACTGTGCGCACGTCCATCTCAAAGCACTGCTGCTGGGAGACCCCACTCCCCATCCCTGACCTGTCAGCGCTAGGACAAATGACAACACAAGATCCCTAGGCAGAGACTCAGAGAAAGCAGGCAAAGGCTGTCAACACTATGGGGGAATATGTACCTACCATGAGCAAATGTCTCACTGAGGATGAAACAATTTCACTTTCAAAGCTGTGCGAGCACACACATACACACACACACGCACACACACACCCTTTCCAGTCCTTTGAACAGAGAAAACTGGAGCCAGTAGAAAAGAGTAACAGAAGAGACACAGGGTCTGTATCTAGAACAGTAATGCTTTTGCAGAAATCCACCCCTTTTACAGAAAGGTTAGCCATTGTAGCTCCACGAGAGATGTCTTAATCTTTTTATTTCCACTAGAAAATAGATTGATATTTCCCCTCCACTGCACAGCCTCAGGCTGGTGAGTTTGCCAAAACCACATGGGGTTCATCCAATCCTTTTCGGGGCCGCCCAGACCCACACCAGAGCATTCCAGCAATTTCTACTCTGAGGTAAGAGGGGAAGCGTTTGCTTGCCCCAGACTTGAAGGCAAGAGCAAATGCGGAAATGAAACCCCACCTGACGACGCCGTGAACGCGGTGTCAGTCCTGTCCAGAGCAAGCAAGCTCGACCTCCGGGCTGGAAGAGACCAGAGACGATGGGAAGAAAAGCCGGAGAACGTGCTGTACACGGACAGTATTTATGCCCTTTCCTCCGTGATTTCACACACGCTTCTGCTTCCAAATGAAGCCCTGCTGGATGGTCCATGTTTTTTATATTTTTGTGAGTTGCAAAAAGAAGCATACAGGGTTCTGCCTGAGTTGGAAAGGACACTGTGTCCCTGCAACATCTGCATTAGCTGTCCAAGCAATGCAGAGGCGTTGAAAGCGCCCCCTGCTGGCTGATAGAGAGACTGCAACCAGTGCACACTAATGGACCACAGAGCCCCGTACACGAATCCTTCAAATTTTAAGATATTGGACACCATCCTGTCTTTGGCCAACTACAAAGACATCTTTCCTGCTTCAAGTGAGCGTCAAGAAAAAATTTTTAAAAAGGACTTTTGCTCTGAAACTCAGAAAATCAATTTATTAAGAGCCATATTCTTTTAACAAAAAAAGCTAGATTATATTATCTATAATATTTCAGGCCTCTACAAGCCAAATAAATGTGTCAATGTTACTAGTATTTCAAAGAAGCAATTATGTAAAGTCGTTCAATGTGATATAATAGTATTCTAATTGGTTAAGTAGCTTAATGATTAGGCGAACTAGATGAAAAGATTAGGGGCTACTACACTGCATAGATTACACATAAGTAACCACACATTATGCACACACAAGTGGGGTTCAGTGAACCTTAAAGCCCAAATAAATAGGAACACATTTTCTGTCTAGCAGAAACTGTTGTTTATCTTTCTTGCTTTGAGAGTGTAAAGTAAAAGGGATTTTTCAAATTATTTTTATATTATTTTAGCTTTAATTGTGCTGTCATTCGTGAAACAGAGTAGCCCTGCTTTTCTGTCAGAGATGGCAAGAACCTTTTCAGCATCTTGTTTATGTGTGGAATTTCAAAAGAATAAAGTTTTATTCCATTCTGTGTGAAGGGCCTGAACTGCGGACAGGGAATCCACGCAACACAAGGTGTGACCTCAGAGGACAGGGACAGGAACAGGACTATCTGGGGGAGGGACCCGCTGTGTCCACACGACGGGGCTGTGCGCAGCCTGATGACGTGATATTGATTCCTAGAGATGAGATAGGCTGACAGATGTACTATCATGAGGGCAGAATTTGGACCAGAGCTGCAAAGGTCGGTCCTGCTGCAACGAGAGGATTCTTAGGTTGCAGATGTTCCTTTGAACTTCGCAGCTGTCTGATACTGTGCAATAAGCCTTTTTCTTCCCATTTATTGGAGGAAATGAGCAGAATAATTGAAGAAAAGACCACATATCAGTTGGCTTGAGCTAGTAGAGGGATCTGTTAGAGGCTCATCTGATTGATTTAATTTAAATATTTAATGCAGTGATTTACGTAGAATGCAGGTTAAAATAAGGAGGTCGGCATAAACCTTAAGAAAGACTCCAAAATGATGCTTTCAGAGCACTTTGAACCAACATTTAAGTTCAAGCTTGTGTTGTTTGTAAAGTAACTTGGAATTTTTGTTTACAGATTGAATGTCTAATTGTTTTTACCCAGCTAACAATATCTAAAGGCATTTGCGATGTTTATCATGGGAAGAAAAAAGCCGTGCATTAAAAATAAAGCTAGTATTGCAGGTTCCCTACACCGTTTTCAACATCTCAGCTTTGCTGCTTTAATTAAATGAGCTGAGGCTGGATCCCTGGCCCATGACCAATCTGAAACCTACCAGAGAGTTGACTGCCACATAGAGAATCCTGCTGTCAGTTAACATTCCAGAAAAACTTGGGCAGGCGAGTTTTTATAGCTGCCCCACTATGCTGCAATAGATTGTCTTTCTATTAAAGACTGCATTCCAATCCCAGTGTGCTGAAGACATTCCTGGATCAAATACAGAATCCTTGATTGCCTATGTGCATCTGTCTATATAGCATTTCAGGCACTCTGTCAGAGCTTAAACTCAAATGCATGGGTTTGCAAAGAAATTCTGGTGAGAAATGCCTTGTTCATACAGCAGGGGCTTTATCTGGACCTTCTAGTGTTGCTTATGAGAACAGAACAACTATTTATTGTATTAATATCCAGTGCTAGCCCAAAGTACCAAATTGAAGTCATAGATTAAAGTTATTATTCCAGGTAATTTATTTTCACTTTTTCTAATCACATGTGCTATGAAAATGCAGGGCTTGGGGAGAAAAACGTGCATTTATGTTGGGTGAGGAGAAAGATGCTCTCTTATTTACCTGTATGTTAACTGGGTTAGAAACCTTGAATATAAAATTACGAGGAACCCAGAAGAACACTTGTAGGAAGGAGACTCACAGGTTTCCTTTTTAATCAGGTGTAGTATCATGTAATAAGGTAGAGCCTGTCACATCAGAGCAACAGAGCACCTGGAGTGGATTGTACTGGAGTAGAAGGTTCCAGAAGTCAGGGCAAGGTCCCAGGCTGCTAAGTTATCTGGGAGAGGCAAAACGCTCAGGTGCAAGTTTTTTCTTAGAACAAGCTCTACCCTGAGACAACGCATGTGACCCAGTGAATCAGCTGCAGCACATTTCTGAGGGCGTTTCCCCAGTTTGGATAGTGGTTCTCTGATGGTGTCTTTGGGTTGAGCCAGTGCTGACTCCAGGGAGCTGATAGGAGAGAACCAGACAGAGTTGGCTTCCCAGGCTTTGGAGTGTTCAGTCGTCCTGTCATGGTCCATATCCGTCTTGCTTAGACGCTTCCTTGGAACAGTTTCCATCCTGGAAAGTGCCACCGTGTGACAATACCATGATGCAAGCCCAGAACTTCAGTAGTCAAATGTATCTTTCTCCAATCTTTTTTGTCTTCGGTAATAAATATTTTGCTATTCACTTGGGATGCTGGTAGAGCCTATTCTGTTCCATCCTTGTCTCCTCGGCTCTTGAAAGGTCTTCTGTCCCTTTTCTGTTTACATATGACACCCAGTTCTTTGTGCCTCAGACTCATTGCCAGCAGGGAAGAATTTTGCAAAGAATGCAGCAGACATCTGACCTGTCCCGCACACACATTGTGTGACAGCAGACACAGCAAGGGGACCCTATTTTGTCATGACAGTTGACAGGAAGCACTAGGCTTCAGCTTCTGCACACTGGTGCCTGATGATGCGACGCAGGTCAGTGTAGTCCCAGCACCTTGGCTGCCCATGGCAACAGCTACGGTTGCAAAGATCTGCAAGTCCTGCAGCGGAATGTGTAGCTGAAGAGCCCAGTTCAGAACTGCAGAGCATCAGAGGTCATCCTGAGCCTGCCAGGTTGCTTTCACCCACCTCAGATACTTGAATAGTCAGGGCTCCAGGAAGAGAGTGAGGGAAACCCCCTGACCTCCTGTGTTGATGAGTGAGAGCTGTTCTGGCAGTGCGGAGGGACAGGGACAGCACATGTGGGAGGGAGAGGTCTGGGGGAGGGCTCTGTCACCTTGATTTTACTGGGGGGGGGGGTCCTACAGTCAGATCCTGACCACTAGAATGCCACACCCACAACTGCACTGTCATGAACTCTGCCTGAAGGTCAACTAAAGATGCCACATCCGTCAGGATCCAGTGATACTTGTAACCCATCAAGAGCACAGCTGGGAGGGCCCAACTCCTGTTGGTGTTTAAGTGCTGTCGTCTTCCCAATGCTTGGTGGCACTTGGGACTTGGCCTTCCAATGGACAAAAATCAAGATGGCAACCACAGTAGCCTAACCATGCTTCCTGGAATGCGGTCATGACAATTCAGACGCCCCTGCTGGGCTGGAGGTGTTTGGGCTGCCCCCATCTACACTGAGAGCCACTGAAGAGCAAGTAAGGAGCCCAGTATGTTCAGAGGGAGACCTGCCTGTCACAGTCTCAGCGAATCCTGGCAGTGTTGGAATTGTTATTTTTAAGTGCTTCTTTCACAACATTAAAGGAAATATTTTTTTGGTGTATTAAGATTAAAATAATAAAATCATAACTTGAAATCCAACTGTGCTTCTCATTTCTTTTATCCCCCATTCTGAGCAGTTTGATGGAGACGGCTGACACAGTGGACTCCGAATCTGCAGAGGTGCTGTGAGGTCCGCATGCTCACACCTGTGCACTCATGGGGGCTGCTGGGTGCGCGGGTAGGGCCAGCAGTCACCTCCCACCTCCCTCCTCTGCCATCCCAAGCAGGTGCAGGCCTTCGCTGGGTGTCGTGTTCTACAGCTGACACGCTTTCTACCTTAGGCTCACCACAGTGGGCACCAGGGGCAGATGACCTGAGTCAGCTCCCAGCTTTACAGATGGGAAAACTGCTTGCTACATCCAGAGTAATGGGGAAAATGAGGTGAGAACGACTGTAAAATCCTTAACTTCAGTTTTGATCTTTGGAAGAGCGATAGAAATAAATGAACGCAGACTCCCTTGCTTGGTGTTGAACTTCGCCAAAGTGTTGCAAGGCAGTGTGGGGAGGTTTAGGTAGCTCAGGCCTTAGGGCTCCAGAAGTCACTCAGGCCTACCAACCACTGGCAGGTGCTGGCCCAGCCACACACTCCCTGGGCCTTAGGCAACCTGGCCTTCAAATGGCCTGTCCTGATAGGAGCTGTCTCAGTCACTTTTCTTTTTGCTGCAACAAAATGCCCGACACCCCAAATGAAGGAAGGAAAGGTTTATTTAGCTCACAGTGGAGGTTTCAGTCCATACTTGGCTGACTCCAAGGCAGAGCAGCACATAGCAAGGGCAGCAATTCATAGCGGCTGAAAACAGCTAAGGGCAGAGTAGTGGCTGCAGCAGCTAATGAGCCTCTCTCCCCTCCTTACACTGTGTGGCGATTACCCACCCCAGGGCTGAGGAAGCACACCCATAATCCCAGCATTGGATCATAAGTCCCAAACTCTAGAAGTCCCCCCTAGCTGTGTGAGGCGTTGAGGGGACACCTAGCCACAAACCATAACAGGAGCTTTGCAGGTTCAATGGCTGTGCCACTCCTGGTGGTCCTGCAGAGCTGTTAGACAGGGAACACAGCACTTGCCCTATTAACACTGATGATTACAACCCAGGAACCCAGCGAATGTAGTTTTCCACCACCAAATGATGTCTCTTTATGCCTCATCTGCAGATACACTATTAAAATGGAGGCTTTTGTTCCCTTTGGAGTCTTCTTAACATGTTTTCTTCACGGGGTAAAATGCAAGATCCACAGTGCACACAAAGTATGTGTAGTACCTTCAGACTAGCAGCAAGAGAGGAACTTGTCCTCAGCAAGTATCTCCATGTTCTTACCAGAGTCCCAAAAACATTCAAATGACTGCCTGTTACTTTGCTTCTGATGCATGTCTCAGGATTGGAAGCTTAAAATATGAATAAACCAACTAGTAAATCATGCAAGCACCTGTATCACAGTCTCACTAACAAAGATCCTGACCTTATGGAACAACAAGGCCAAGAATTATGTAGTATAATTTTGATAGTTTATTCTGCTTTGTTTGGTTGAGACAGAGTCTTGTTACATAGTTCAGACTGGCCTTGAACTCATTTTGTAGCACAGGATGGCCCAGACTCACAGTGATCTTCCTGCTTTAGCGTCCTGAGTGCTAGGATTATAGGTATGTGCCAGCCTATGTGGTGAGATTAGAAATTTCAATAAACGTTTAAATTTTAAAAAGGAATTACAATACATAACACATTGATTGGTTCCCCCCTCAAAAGACTCCACTCCCTCTGAGCACACTTGTCCCATTATTCTTGCCACTTTTTGAGCCGACTCGGAAGTCTTCTTGCAAGTGGCCTTAGGTGCAGTTTCCTAGATGCCTTGGTGTCCCAAA